AACTATTGAAATGATTTAAATGAAATTTTGCATGGTAGTACCTTATATCTCCGGTCAACATCTAAGATACTTTTCATTCCAGAAAATTAAAGAGCTTATACAGTTTAGTACACAACAACTTATGCACCTAATTCAGTAAAATTTGGCATGCTGATACCTTATATTGCCGGTCAAACAATAGGTTACTTTTCATCCCGGAAAAATAAACGGTTCCCGTGGGATAGATCTGTTTGTGCTTTTCTAGAGGTGAACCCGAGCGAAGCGAGGGTGAGCCGCTAGTAATATTATAAAGAGGTAAAGTTTGTGAGTTTGTGAGGTTATAGGGGGTAATCTCTGGATCTACTTAATCGATTTAGATGAAATTTGGTAAGAAGATAGTTTGAGAAGACCTGGGAAGGACATAGGATACTTTTAATCTCGGAAATCATCCCTTACTGGGGTGAAAATGGGTATGAAAATTTGTATGGGGAATCAACCTAGGGACGAACCCGAGCAAAGCGAGGGTGAGTCGCTAGTTAAATATAAAGTAAGTCAAACAAAATCAGGACGATTTTAAGTATCAATAAAGAAACAAACGACAATTTGTGCAGAATAAAATATTTTATCATATAATGTAACATCGCTACGTAGCTACGTGCGTAGCATCGCGCTACGAGCTACGAGAGCAGTGTAGCAATTGAATTACGTAGACGTTTGTAGAGTTAATGGTATGCTAGTTTTTATAAACATTTTTGTTAGTTGTTTGATTTTAAATAAATAACAGTTATTTTAGGATATTTTAAATTATTTATTTTATATTTTTAATCATAAAAATGTTAGTTTAATATATGTAGTTTTTTTTCTATGCGTATATTACTAAGGTTTCTATGATAAATCGATTATTTATATAAAATACTAGCGACTTACCCTTGCTTCTTTCGAGTGCGTCCCTAATCCCTCCACGACCGCGGACACGCCGACGTTACAGTTAACAATAGATTTCTTAGAAATTGATTTAAATTTCTTAAAAATAAACCTGGAAGTGATAAGTGCCTAATAATAGCCTAAACGTTCCTCTATGTCATCTGTCTTTCCACAACCAAATCAGTCCAATCGTTTTTACATGAAAGCTTTACAATACTACTAATATTATAATTAATGCGTTTGTGAGGATGTATGGATGTCTGGATGTATATATGTATGAATTTTTGGTACTCTTTCACACAAAAACCGTGGAATGGATTTTAATGAAACTTTACAGGAATATAGTTCACACATCAGAATAACATATAGGTTACATTTCATCCCGGAATAATGTACGGTTCCCGGAGGATAGATTTGTTTTCGTATTTCTAGAAGCAAACCCGAGCGAAGCGAGGATGAAGCGCTAGTTATAATATCGCATTTATAATAGAAGTCCGATAAGAGATGCACTAAGATAAGCTGTATTGAAATTTCGCGCCTACATGTTATAAAGTTTACATTAAAGTGTATGTTGCCATATTTATTTTTCTATTTCAAGTACCACATACAAAAGTTGGTTAATATGTTGAAATAATGTAAAAATTAAATCAACAATTTAAAAAAAATGCCAGTCAAAATCAATTTAAATAAAGTACTATATTTTATGTTATTTGATTAATCACTAGCTTTATATAAATAATCATTAAAGTGATTTTTATATAGATTAAAAAGATATTTTTATGAACTCAAGCTCTAACGTATTTTTAAAAATTTATTATGTTTAAAAATGCTTAAAAGCAAAGTGCACTTGCATAATGGATCGGTCAACCATCGTTGTATATGCACTTGGCATATAAATAGAATATTATTTAAACTTTAATGCATGATATATTGATTTAGTGGTTAGTTCATACGGTTGGAGATTATTAGGTCATGAGTTCGATTTTGGGTCAGTCAAAAAGATTTATTAAAAATACAATAAGAATTTCTCAGAAACATGTTTCAATTGCGAACTTAATGTTGTTGTCATCAACATATTGTTACCATCGAAGCAACTTTATTTGGTCACCTCTGTTTTTACATCCATACTTCCAACCATATCCTTACTAATATTATAAATGTGAAAGTGTGTTTGTTTGTTTGTTTGTTTGTTTGTTTGTTTATTTGTTTGTTTGTTCGTTTGTTTGTCCTTATTTCATGTCGAAACAAAGTGAAGTATTGGCGTTTTGGAGTTTTTTGTGTGGAGATAGTTGAAGGGCTGGAGAGTGACATAGGCTATATTTTACCGCGGGAGATTATTTTACTCCCACGAGAAAATACATTATAATACAACAGAACAACTTATCAAACCTTTTTATATGATGATGTTCTCCTAGCCGATTCCGGCCACGGCGGCCAATCTCATTGAGACTAGCCAACTGCGCAAGAGATATTATAGTGCACAAGTGTACGCGCAGACATAAGTGCACTCTCTATTCCTGTCACTCTCATACTCCAGTGGGACGACTGCTCGACACGACCAGTGAGAGTTAAGGCGCAGGACCGACGGCTTTACGTGCTCTCTGAGGCACGGGGTGAAACACCGCCAACTTCCCAACTCCGGGCTGTTACTGACACTTACTATACAGAAAGACTCAACAACTAAACTTGGCCCGACCCGGGACTCGAACCCAGGACCTCCGAGTGTGCAGCCGTATATGCTAGGCACTACACCACCGAGGCAGTTAGTTAACCTATTTATATAGTTATGTTATATTATATAGTTAACCTATTTGTATACATATAATATATAGTCTATCTATTCCATACTAATTGTTAAAACGTACCTAGGGACGAAAGTGAGTCGCTAGCATGTTTATAAATTACTACTATAAGGCCTGCGTAACTATCTACCCTTGAAAATAGCTTCTTTCACCAAAATTAGGCAAGATACCTACTTTATTATACATTTCAAATCGAATAGATAGTCTGTTTCTTTACGGCTTTAATTTCATACACAGTATTAATATTTTCTCCAGAATATACAATATACTTATATAGAAAAAGAGATTGCTAAGACTAATACATTTTAATCTTATCGTACTTTTCTTATAGATTCCTTTCAAAACGTACGATTTCAACGTCTTAATCCTCTTAACGAGATCACGTCCAACATCAATAATGTCAATAGCATTTTTTTCCTCGAAAGGGATCGTCGAATCTAAAGTACCAAAGAAAATCAAAAGTAGTCTAAGCAAACGTCAGATTCTCGACTGTCCTACATTAGTCTTTAGTAGAACAAACTTACTTGCTCTACTATAATCTATACTAATATTATTAATGTGAATGTTTGTGTGTATAATGTATGGATGTTGGTTACTCTTTCACGCAAAAACTACTGAATGAATTTTAATGAAACTTTACAATAATATAGCTCATATATCAGAACAATACATAACCTGCTCTTTATCCCGGAAAAATGTACGGTTCCCGTGAAATAGACTTGTTTTTGTTTTTCTAGAGGCAAACTCCCCTAGCGAAGCAAGGGTGAGCCGCTAGTATTTTATATTTGTTACGATGTTTTATATAAGTAAGTTAATATATATCTTAAACCTATTACCATAATTGTATTAATAGAAGCATCTGTTTAATTCACCTCTTTAATTTTTTCTCTAATATGTATGTATTTTTAATATAATGTTATAATAAATAATTAAATTTTTAAAAACTTTATTTATATATTTTCTTTTAAAATCACTTTTTTGTACGAATAGTGTAATTTTGTCGTCTTATTCGTATCAAAATGTTATAAAGGCCAAATTTCAATATTGTTTATGACCTATGAATTAATTGTAAAGATCTTATAAGGAAAACAACACTTTTAGTCTTTTTCTTGAATTTTCCAGTAATATTTTCTATTTTTTCCTATTAAACATTATTTAAACTATTTAATATTATAACTTTGTTAGCAAAAACAAAAGTGATGTGCTTTCCAACAAACAGCATTTCATTTTTATTTTTATATATAGACTAGCGACTCACCCTCTTTTCGCTCGGGTTCATCCCTAGCTTGATCCCTATACAAACTTACATCCCCATTTTCATCCCCTTAAGGGATGATTTCCGGGATAAAAAGTATTCTATTTCCTTCCCAGGGTCTCAAACTATCTTCTTACCAATTTTCATCTAAATCGGTTCAGTAGATCCAGAGATTACCTCCTACAACGTCACAAACTCACAAACTTTACCTCTTATAATAGAAGATATGAAATGCAAGAACTATAAGAGAAAGATTTTTTATTCTGAATATTGTTCGCTTATTTTATTTAGTTATTCTCTGCAATAGTAATAAAAGGGGAAAGTGATATCAAAATAATTGATTTTATTTTTTCCTTTACTATATTAAAATCGTTTGATTTAAAATCATAATACCATATTACTATGAAACAAAGCAATACAGTGATGCAATTAATCGTATACAAAGTGTCCTGACGCCAACATGTCTGTCCCTGTCAATTCTGGGACAATGGTAACGCATCACATTTTCCATTGTACAAGCCATTCAAATTTTTATTTTATCCTCTACACATACAGTCTAAATTACGTTAAATCAAAATTTTACTATATTGAATATTATAGCGGCTTAATTTGAATCTTACGAAATGAGAATAGAGTTTAATTTTTAATGGTACGTTTATATTTCAATGTGTGCTTATAGAGCCGCGCAGTCGCCCGTTTTCCACGGCCAGTCAGCTCGGTGGCGCCACTGAGCACAGACGTGTTTAGTGTATTACCGAGATTACCAGTGATTCCCGTCAATTGTGTACAAAAATCCACAGTCAATTTCAGCCTTCCATTTAAAATAGTAACGTTAGAGGAGGATTTTTCGTTTAATTTTAATTTTTTTATACTTAACAAATATTTTTTGTCGAAATGTGCAAGGTTTATGAAAGCCGGTAGCGTCAGAGGCGCCAAACTTGCCCGTGTCGTGGGTAACTTACGTAACTGTTCCGGGCAAAATCGATAGCGGGGCGTATAAATACCGACCTAAGGTTGAGAACAGCTGGCCGCCCGCCAGCATGCAGCCTACGGTGAGTATCATCAAAGAAACCTATAGAGAATGTTCGCTTTAATAAATGACAAAGGCTTCATACATTTTCTAGTCGTTTTTTTTTATTTAATAAGTTTATCTTATTTTTTTTTAAATTACAGAATATTATATGGAAAACAATACATTAATTTTTTTTTACATCTAAGTAATAATCACAAAAACTATTAATGCATTTAATTAAAATTTAATATAATTTTCAAACAAAATTATACATAATTCACACATTTCGATATTACCGCAACCCCTAAAAGAGGTACGAAGTCAGCGTTAAACGTCCTAATGGAATCCTATTACAAAAGATCCGTTTAAGATTACGCAGACTCGAGACAAACAAAATGAATGAATGCCACCATTGTGACTAATCTTGTTCTTTTTGTTCAGATCCTTAAAATAGATTGACAATTTTCTTCAATAATGAGATACTCTTTTCATCAAAAGTTATCAAATTTTCGCAAAGTAAGATAAAAAATGAATTTAATATAATATTGAGTTGAAAGATTGTTTTAAGATGAGATATGAAAAGGTCCCCTAAATTTTCAGCGTCATTCAAAATCAATGACGCCTTTAATTTTTCAAGGTTACAATTGTAATTGAGAGTACTAGCGATCTGCCTTGGCCCAGTTTTTTTTTAAATAGATACTTCTTCTGGATACCTTTTTTTATTACGTATTAACATATTTATACAGAAATAACAATACTTAAAGTTATACAGAACTGTGAGTAAAACTATTGTTCTTTATGGGAAAATCGTTTTACTTGCTTTATCTTTCAAGAAAACTTCTGACATTCAATTTTAGAAATATATAAATAACTAGCGTTACGTTACGTTTACGTAAGTTACGTTTTAACGTTTAGTGTAGATTTCTCAGAGGTGAGATATTTTCCCGCAGTAAAAAGTATCCTAAATGTTGACACGAATAACCAGCTATCATTATGCCAATCAAAATCTGTCCAGTGGTTTTCTCGTGATGCGTTTCCAAAGAGACAGACAGACAAAAATTGTAAAAATTATAGTCGGCCTCGATTATAATGACTATTTCAATAAGATTATCTAAAAAATATTTAATGTAAACATTCGACTTAGTTAGAATTTTATTATATGTATAGATATATTTATTACTAAAAAAATTGTTTATTTAAAAATATTCTTTCTCAGGATTAGGAAGCTCGGAATATAAAATTTTTGTTCAAATTTAAGCAAAATTGGACTTTTTTATATGGATGTTTCCGATGAAAGTAGCATGTTTTGATGAACATTAGCACATACATAGATTTACGCATTAATCTCTCCAGGATCGCGGACACGCTGGCGTGTCAGTTAACAATAGATTTCTTAGAATTTTAATTAATTTCTTAGAAATTTACCTGGAGGTGTTAACACTTCAGTACTTGTATTTATTTACTTATTACTCATTCATAGAGCTGCTCAAACAATTTATTAAGTATTTATAATATACAGTTTTGATTAAATAAGGGGCATTGAAACAGAAAATTAAGCATCGCTAAATAATTAATTATAAATCCTTCCATAATATTGTAAATGTTAAAATTTTTGAAGATGTTTGTTACTTAACTAACGGATGAGTGTTAAGCAATTTTTTATGAAATATAACAAAAATATTTTTTATATTGTGTGCGTCATTAGTTTGCTTACAATAAATCAAGTAGAGGTGCAGGTCACTAGTAAAGAAAAAAATATATGTATTACTAAAATCAAATAAGATTAGTCTTCGTGTGAAATGGCTGTGTCATTCAGACAGATGGTCATAGCGAAACTATAAGGGTTCCGTTGTAGTCATTTCGCCATGGGACCCTAAAAAGGGCTAAAAACTAAGAGTACATCGGAAAACAGTACCAGCGTGTTGAATGTTTTACACACTTACTCTTTACACTTTATTAGTGACGTCATGATCAAGTGACGTCATTCATGCGATTGATTTTTCTGAATCGCTTGACTATGGTGAAGGCGTGTTATTATTTATGTTATTATATAAAATATTTAGTCAAATAGTGTTATTAGTGTAACTAAATACAAACTAAACTTATGTTAGATATAAAGATATTTTTTATTAATTTTAAACTACTCTAATTAAACGTACTATAAATATTACCTAAATTTTTTGTTGGTGGTGTGCAGTAGAATTAAAAAGATCGTCAACATTTTGCTGCCTTTTTACAACCCAGTACGTAAAAGTTTCTTTGAAAAGTGCTAGATTTTTCATGAAAGCTCTTACGAGTACCTACATGAAGCTTAAAGCGTAGTCATCTTGTATTTGTAATATTTATATTGACCACTAAATATTTTTCATTATGTTTACAAAAGTTAATCTTCGACCCAGTCCACACATCAGTAAAGAATAAAATATTGATAGGTAGAGTTAGGTAGTATATATTATTTATTTAATCGATAAATATGTATAAACACCCACGTAGCATTTTGCTACAGGCAATTTTAATATTAAAAAATAATAAATTTTCGAAAACGATATTAGAAAACGTTAAATTCTACCATTCAATTTTAAAATTTCAAGCATTTTTTCTTAAAATTCTACCAATAGCTGTCGCTTTGACAGGATAATAGAGGTTTGAGTGCAGCTGTAAATGAGATTTATTCGAGAACCCTTTTATGCTCTTTTGAATTCTCAATAAGATGTCAACGCTTTGGAATATTGGATTTAATGGCTAGGTTTTTATGGAATGGAATATATTTCAAAGAAAACACTTTAATGAAATATTGACAGAAAGAATTTTCAAATCTAACATTTTCTCTTTATGTATATATTATGTTCTCTATGTATTTTAGAAATTATTTTGAGAAATACGCAGTAAATGAATATTCTGATGTTATAATTATTATTCATATATGATACGAGTGTGTTGCGGTTTAGCGTCGAGCAAAAATGTCAATAATCCCTCAACGACCGCGGACACGCCGGCGTTACAGTTAACAATAGATTTCTTAGAAATATAATTAATTTCTTAGAAATTTACCTGGAGGTGTTAAAATTGTTTTAATATAGACAATATGTATTCCGCCCTTTTTAACGTCCCACTGCTGGGCACGAGATACGCTTCCTTTCAATACGTGAGGGATCAAGCCATAGCCCACTACGCTGGCCAAGAACGGGTTGGCGGACATTACATGTCTTATTATTATTATGTTGGGTGTGGTGCCGAGGTCGGCCGTAGCTGCTTACATGTCTTTCAAACACTTGCTAGGTTCTCTCAGACGTGCAGGTTTCCTCACGATGTTTACCTTCACCGGAAGATAAGTGGTAATCATGTTGAAAATAATTCGCACATGCAAATGAGAAATATAAGAGAGAAAAAATATGAGAGGTGCGAGACCCAGAATTTGAACCTGCTTCACTCAACTAACTTCAAATTATGAAGAAACTGTAATATTTAAAAAAAATTGTTAATAAAACTTATATGTTATTTATAATAATTTATGTTAGATCAAAACTTAAATAAAAAATAAATTCTTAGTTCAAAAAAGTATAAAATACTTTCAAGCCTTTACGTTACAGTATAAACACAAACGATGGTAACATAATACTTTAGTTCGCTGTCCATTACCATCGCGTTCTGAATACTGGAGCTTAAGTGGACTGTAAGGGTCAAACATCTGTATTGTTAGTACAATTATTTCTCCCCTACGAATTTATTTTTAAAATCATTTGTTTGAAAATGACAGGCATGTAAGCACAATATATTTATTTTAACTGAAACTATGTTTATTATACATCAAAATGAAACAATTCTTCAATTTCCATCAATAAAGTTATCAAAACGTAAAAATGAAAGAATTAAAAAAAAGTACAGCCAAATAGCTCCTTTTGAAATCGGTCAAAACCTTAATAAAACGTACAGGCGAGAATTTAATGAAATCAATCTTTTTAGCAGAATTTAAAATGCAAAATCGCGGGCACAAATTCGTAGAGTATGTACTGTCTCACTGCAAGACCAACATTTTGCTACCACTTCAAGAATACGATTTCTTGTAAAAAATCTGGTGAAATTAACTTAGCATCTTTATGCTTAACACACAAATGTAAAAAAAGTAGTTTAAACATAAAATAGTATTTATTTTTCCATTTTATAGCTATTATTTGTGGTCTAGTCAAGAAGGCTTAAACATAACATTCTCTCACTTTATTCGACAAACGAAGCGACACCAAACTTTTCTCATTCGAGTTCGCGCTTTGTTTGTTCCCTTTCATTATTGTTAAATTGGTTGAAGTCAGATTATAATATTATATAATAAATACTTTATTGATGAATAATATTAAATTTTCTTGTTGATGGTTTGTACGCTGAAGATCCCTTCTGCATGGTAGACATGACACGATTTAGTTTTAACTATATAATAAAATTATTTTGTCCGTTTTTGTTATTTTAAAATGAATAAAATGGGCATTACTTTAAATTAGTTCACGAGGCAGATTTTCTTGTTTGTGACACATCAAATTAATATAAGACAAATGCAAAAGTTTTGTCTAAATTAAAAGAAAAACTCATTTATTCATTCATTTCTATCGGTTGTGTGAAACGTAACCAAAAAGAATAAGTCAAAAGACAAAATATATATATACATATATATAATATGTTCTCTATATTTGCTTATCTTAGGTAAATCACGCTTAACTATAACGCGCCATCGCTTCACTCAGGCTTTAACTATTTATAACACGATTTAGAAAGAAACTTGACGCAATTTTTGCAGATACCCTTCTAGATTAGATTACAAATTGCCACAAAATGTTTAAAAAATTAGCCATCCAACATATGTATATGTATGTAATATTTACAAATGTTTCTAGAGTTATAAGTGCAGAAAAGCACAGACGGTTTCAAACATTGTGCTTTATATATACATAGTATGTATGAAAGGAATGAAACAAAGCAATTTCAAATCACCAATCAATTAACCCAATTTAATTTAAAATGAAGTGATAAACACAAATGATTACCACATTC